AACTGACATACCTGCAAGATTGTTATGCAAATTGATAACAAATGCAAGATTAGAAGCAGAATGGAAAGAAACAAATGTAATCAAAAAATTAGAACTAAAAACAGAAGTCATGATTTATAACTAGATATAATTCTGAAAAAGGCTAAAAATGACTAAAGGAGTGCATTATACAACAAGAAGAAGTAGTACAAGAAGATATGCATTTATAAAGTGTATAATAGATAAACTTCTGACCCTGGAAGAACTTAATAAAAGAAGACCAGATGTATATACAACAACAGACTACCAAGTATGTTAAGATAAAGTTAAAGAAACACAGTCACATCTAGCATCATGCAAAGGACAGCAAAGCCTGTGAAAACGAATCCAAAAAATAACTATTGTAATAACCTGAAAAGGGTTGAAGAAAGAAGAAAAAATTCGCATTTCATCACAGATACTATATACAGCACTTTTTGGGAAAAGTAAAACAGAAGAGATAGAGATAAGAAAAGCATTAATCAAAGGCCTAATCTTAAAAAAGACAAGACAGTCTAACATAGCTCCTAAATACAAAGGCAAAACAGAAGTTTATAGAAACAGTGATAAAGACAGCATGGGACACATTCAATGAACAAGTCTAGAAGATACAGTGTAAAAAAATCAATGAATAGAAGAAGAAAGAAGGCATAACAACCAAAATGAAGAAAAAAGAAGTTAGAAAGAAGAATCCAAAAAAGAAAGAAAAAGCAAATCAGCGAAAGATTGAAGAAGAAAAGAAATAAGTAAAAGAAAAAAAAGATAGAATTAATAAAGAAACTAGGAAGACAATATTGGAACTTGTTATGAAAAGGAGAAAACCCAAGAAGATCCTTTCACTACGGACTTTAAGTAGTTAGACAAGTAGCCTATTTCTGTTAGAAGTAGTGCAGCAGGTTGCACTTAGATACCCTATGGGTGGTCAGGTGATGCTAAACTTAGTTGTTAAGAAAATCTATATAATTGCAAAAATAATTTCAAGAACCTTAATAAAGTACTAGCATGACTGCTTAAGTTTTAAAAAAAAAAAAAAAAAAAAATTATTATTAAAATTAAGGTTGGAGTTAAATTAAGATTAGATTAGCACTTAATTTATAGTAAAATTTCGCAAAGAATTTTTTTAATTAGAATACAAAAAGTGATTCCATAGATGAAATTTTGATCTATTATAAACTTTTAAAATTTTTAATGTTTTCTTTATTTTCAGATTACACTAACATTATACCTAATCCTATAATGTAATTGGCCAATTGCAACCCAGTGACTGTCACTGCTAGCAACAAATAGATTCACTCTAAAATTAAATATTATTATATTATAATTCTTTATTTTTAAATATTATCAAACAAAATTTTATTTGAATATTTTAAAATTTAAAAAATATAAATCATAAATATATTTTTATTAATTTTTTAAACAAATTTGTCTAGAAATGGTCTATGGTTTAAGGGATAATGCTTATGAATAATTTCATTTACTAGCCAATCATATTAAGAAAAATGCTGCCCTAAACCTACTTCGAGTAGGCTAATTAAAAAATGTATCGGATGTTGAATAAGTTCCTAAACAGAACCCTGTTTTTAACCATCTAAAAAAGAGCAAATATTAGTAATCGTTATATAATAAAAACTAATACAGGTCACCCTCATTAATATCAACACTGTTAATATCAACCTAAGCCAAATGACAAATTTTTATAAATGTTTTATATATCAAAATTCCCTCATATATGTCAACTTTAATATGATTTCTCATTAATATTACTAACAACATGATTTAAAACCAATTCAAATAGGTTGATATTAACGAGGGTGACCTGTACTAGCGAAGATATAAAAAAGGTTCTGTTTAGGGACTTATCAAAAACCCGGTATAACTATTTAAAACTAACCTAACCCTAATATACTCTGCTTTAGACGTCCCTATATGTAGTAATTTTGTTGACGATCCTAGGGGATTTTGGTGGCGATCTAGGGGAAGATTTTTTGGTGAAGATACAAAATGATCTACGAACACTCTACCTTTAAAATACATATAGCAACTATAATGTTTTAACACCTATGGAACCCCGATTTTGTTTAGCTAGCTTTCATTTTTATAACTGATTAATCAGATATTGACCAGTTAATCGGTTAACGATTGAACGGAACATGCCCTGTGACTACTAAATCAGTAATTCTCCAGTATTAGTTTCACATGTAAAAAGTTTAAAAAAAAATTTTTCATGTAGTCGGGTTATCGTTATGAAAATCAAGAAATTAATTTTATATGGCACAACGATAATAGAGTTGAATTTCAGGGGTGTTACTCAAACTTTCATTTATGCAATTCGCTCTTTATTTGCAGATATGCACTGATAGTGCAACACAATAAACACAATTTACTAGTGCAACCGATTTATGCTGATAACTTGGTATTTGCATTATCGTATATATTGTTTTAATTAAAATTTTAATTTTTCTTCACTCTCCCTACAAAATATTTTTTATACATATCAGTACAGCTTTTCACAGATAAAACGTTAGTTAATTTTAAGACTGTAAGTAGTTAAGGGCTTCTTAAAAATTTTTTTTGTATATATATTTTTTTTACTTGCCTTATTTTTGGTATAGCAAGGTTTATGTCAAAAGTAACCTTTGTTATAAGACTGCTGTTAATTTCACTAGAAACATAATAAAACACAATGTGCACTTTAATCAAAGTTCGCTTAGAAATAACCATTTGATTTTTATTCTTTAAAACTAAACAGTTCCGGTTCACAGTAGAATGGCATACTTACTAAATGGCCAGCGCAACACTACTGGATCTGACCAGTATATACAAGTCAAGCATAATCAAATGATTCACAAAGATGTTATCAAAAGGAGACCTGCGCATCCGTCGACATCCCAAATGAACCGCAAAATTCCACTACTTAAATCTAGACACAGAACGATTTTTCCATTGATTAAAACATCCTTTAAGTCACAAAATGCCAATAATTCGTCAAAGTCGAAATTCAAGTATGTCTCTCCTCACAAGTACGTTCGAGCAGATATTGTCACGACAAAGAAGCAAGGCTCTGCACAGTAAGAATGTCGGATTCGTACGATGGATTTTAAACATGTTTATCAACAATCTGCTTCTATCTTGGAATAACAATGGATATTATTATAGATATCGAAATTCAACTGATGGGAGCACTAATTTATAAAAATTTTTAATCTTTTTAGGATGAAAAACAAGATCGATAAATATTGTGAATATTATCAAAAATTTGGTAAGCCAAATGGGCTAGAATTGATCCTTGAAACACACATGTTAAACTGTGTTGCACGCATTTGTGGACTACCAGAAACTAAAAAGTTTGGAGCTCATTTTTCTTTATACGTACTATACACATAGGATTTTGCAAGTATAAAAACTCTTGTCGCAATAAGCATGATCCAAATAGAGTTGCAGTATGTAAAGACTGGCTTAAAGATGGATCTTGTAAATCAAGCGATAAATGCCACCGTCAGCACATATTGTCTCCACATGTGGTGCCTCATTGCCGTCATTTCCAATACGGATATTGTTATAATCCGGAATGTCGATACACACATGTTCATGTAAAAGATGATGCTCCTCTGTGTCGAGCATTCGTTCAGGATAAGTATTGCGAACGAGGATTAGATTGTAAAAACAAACATTACTGGTGTCGCTTTAATTCCGAGCGACTTGATGATGATAATTCTACGACAAGCACTAAAAATGCTGAAAAACGTTCAAGGGAAAATGATGAGACTACTGCAGAGAGGGCGACAAAACATCGGCTCAATGATAAAGGGGAGAAAGTTGATGAATTTGCAGCAGGCTTTGATTATATACCGTTTAATAATTGATGTGATCTGTGCTAGGTTTTATCGGTAATTTGATTTATGTCTTTTGCTTTATTTCTTTCCTTTTCTGCTTATTTGTGTGGAAAAAGAAACCTAGTGTAGCTGCTAAAAAGAAAAAAAAAAAGAAAAAACAGAAATAAAATAATAATAAAAAAACAACAAAAAAGACAAAAAAAGAAAAACAAAAAAGGGAAAAGGAAACGAAAAAGAAAAACAAACTGAAAAAAAGCAAATACTTTGTACTGTGCAATTGATTTAAGAAAAAAATGTTGCACGACCAATTTGTAATTTGTAAATATCGCGTAATAAAATACTACAAACGTTTCGATCAAACGCAAATTTTTTTTTTTTATAATTTTATTTTCAAGTTTACTAAAATGCACCTATGGTGCTGAACACCGTAAGTGCTATTTCTCAAAAACATACTAAGTAAATGGGATCGGGTACTCTAAGTAAAAATGTTTAGGACCATGAAAACCTCACAAAAACTGAAATCGGGACCTTATATATAATCTACGTTATAATATATAAAATTCCTTTATTCTAAAACTGCACCCTAATCCTAAATTTTATTAATAAAATTTTGTATGGTGTTCAACACCATAGGCGTATTTTATAATTTTTGTTTATTTTTGTTTCTAAAAGCTTTGGCATGTTCAAATTGTAATAATGTCAATCTGAACATTAATGCGACTGATTATTGTGATAACAGTTTAAAGCCGTTCAATTTTTTTTTTTTTTTTTTTACATATACTCAATAAAAAAGAAATGCATATTGATAATAATTGTCATTTCTTAATTTATTTTATCGTTGCAGCTGATATTGAGTGGTTAACGTCTGAGAATTGAACCTATTTTAATAAGAAATTTAAAGTTTTTGAGTGCGTCTGTTTAGATGTTTAGTTTAACAATTATGCTAAAATTTTTGATAGATTATAAAATTATAGTTTTATATGTACTTGTATATTGTTATGTGTTGCTAATTACCCCTCTTTGTTAACATATTCACCCTCTTATTGTATCTCAAAAACGGTTTAAACTATCATGTTTGATTAAGTAACTTGACTATGTAAATCAAAATTATATCAGTTAGGTCTTAGTAAATTTTACAAAGGTAAAAATAATGTAATAGTAATAGTTTAACAGAATATCTGTGATTGCAAATGTTAGCCTGGTTATAGCATATTATATAAATCTAAATCAACTGTATGTAGAAAATGAAAGGTTTTAGTAAGTTTCTTAAGAATACTGATAAGAATCAAAAATTTTGAATAAATTATGTTTTGTAATACAAGTTGAATTGCATATACAGAGAGTTTAAATAAACAAGATCAGTAATTAACTTACGGATATAATATCTAGTGTAGAATTTATATAATAACAAAGAAAATTTCTTTTAGAATGCTATTTATAATAAAAATTATAATAAAAATAGAGTGTTGCTATTTTCACTTTCTATTTTTGCTAATGTCACTTCTCAAAATATATAAAAGTATTTTGAAAAAGATATTATTATTAAGTAAACCTCTTTTTTTGTATTAAAGTTGTTTATTATATTTTTTTAGTTCTAATAATAATAAAATTATTAAAATCAAACTGGTAATTCTTTGTTAAAAGTAAATTAAAGATTATAAAATTTAGATATAAATATTTTAAGAACCATCAGTCTGATTTTAATGTTTTACAATTATTAAAACCAAAAAGATCTAATAAACAACTTTAATTAATACCAAAAAAGAAATTTACTTAATAATTATATTTCTTCTGAAGCACTTTTTTGTATTTAAAAGCGTAATATTAGCAAAAATAAAGAATGAAAATAGTAATTTTCTAAAATATATAAATTTTCTATAAGCTTTAAATTAAAGATTTGTTTCAGCTTAACTAACTTAAAATTAAATTTTATAATTATATAAAACAAAAAAAAAAATTAGATTAAAAACTTAATTATAATTTTGCTAATTTTAATAATATAACTTCTTTAAAAATAATTATTTTAAAATCAAAAAATAATTACAGTATTTTTAAACAAGTTATATATTTGAAATAGACAAAATTAACAAAATTTTAACTTAGTTTTTATATATATTTTTTTTTTTGTTCTATATAATTACAAAATTTAATAGTAAATTTATATATTTTTATTATAATTTTTATTATAAATAATATTTTGAGTTTTTATAAAAAGAAATATCTTATAACTAATAATATACTTAAATTAAATACCAAAAATATATATATAACTAGTTATAATTTTTTATATAAAAAATTTTTAAAGAAGATATAATAATATAATAAAGTAGTCATATGATTAATCCTTAAATAACAGATCTAAAATTCAAATCTGAGGATGGCGATCCTAGTGTAGTGGTTGGATTGTTATCCTCCAAGTGGCAGGTCTAAGGTTCAAATCCCACCTACGATGAAATTTGGAAATTAACCTGTGTTATGGCAAACTGTCTCTTGACGATTGGTTGGATTTGTGTATCTGTAACCTTAAG